ACTCATTTACACAAACATATACACCCTTCTGTTTCTGGCACAAAGACACACAGACACACGAGGTAAATTCTAAATTTCATATTCACACTGTTACACTTTGTTATGTCCCTGTTCAGTGCATAACTTCTGCTGGGTTGCTGTGCCTCATTTCTTGATAAATGATCTGTCTAGGGTACTTAATCAGACATGTTCTCTCTCTCTCTCTCTCCCACACACACACACACACACACACACACACACACACGCATGCCCACATATCACATATAAATATCGCAAACACGCACAAATCACCAAGGCAGATGCACACATGTTTGACAGATTGAGTTCAGGGTCAGAGAGATGCTGTGTTTGTTACACGTGTGACAGTTTTACAATATGCTCCGGGGATGTGTAATTCACTATGTGGATGTGATGTGACGTAAGTGAGAAGTGATGTAAATGAAGTGTGTGTGTGTGTGTGTGTGTGTGTGTGTGTAAGGTCAGTGATTGCTCAGCCTAGTCTTGTGCATGATCAGTGAGCCCCGAATGTTCAGGATGTTACTGCAAATAAAATGAATTAATCTGATAGAGAGCTCTAAGGGTTCCACTCCACTACTTTTATTTTGAAAAAATGAAATCATCCACTGCTATACTTGTGGAAAGATCAACTACACAACTGAGAAAGACAGAGAGAAGGAGGTGGATATTTAAAAACATCATTGAATATCAAACAAGCTCAGGCCTCAGAAGCTGACTCTGTTTCATCTGATTTTTCCCACAGTCAGACACAGACAGGGAGAGAAACACAGAAAGGAGATGGAGGGATGTTAAGATAGCCTTTACCCTCAGACAGCCTAACAACAGTATTTTGGGAAGATAGGGAGGCAGAGTTGCAGCACTCGCAACATTCTGGGCTCTTTGCAATCAATGCAACCATAGTATAAAGGTCAGCTGCTAAATCAGCAACACCACCAGTAACCAGTATGAGGGATGCAAAGGTCGAGGGGCACATTGCTCCTGAGAGGACAGATGGCTCAAGAGGGAGGTGGTGATAATTGCAAATATTAAAATTGGAGCTTGAAATGAGTGAGAAAGAGGCATGGATTAAAGGACTGAAAACGTTCAATGTTCAGTGGTTGATGTGACCGGAGGGCCCCCTCCACTCGTCGTGTGTAACGTTTTACAATTTCACAAAGTGCCGCCATACCCACGCGCACACTCTCTTCATTTGTTGGGGCAATAATCACTTTTTACCTCTCAGTCCTGCGACCTTCAGCTAACCATCCAGTGATGCTGAGAGCAACAGGCAGACCGGTTGCCTGGCAACCAATCCTCTTTTTTTTTCTCCTCTCATTCTTACAGTAGGAGTTGAAAAGGGGTGCTTGGAGTATAGAGCTTGTGAGAGAGAAAGACAAGGTGGGTGGAAAAGAGAAGAAAAAACAGGTATGTTGAGGAGAATAGGTGAGAGCCAGAAAGACCAGGAATGATAAATGTGAATGTAAGTGTGAAGTTTCACAGCACACGCTGACACGAAACAAACGCTGGACCATGGATACAGGGTACAGAATAAATACCGTCCAGACCTTCAGACACTGTGTGATTTGGTCCTTGATTAAATTTTAATCTGGGTTTAATATTTATTGGTTATACACAGCACAAACTAATCCTCTACCAATCGATAATAAAAATCACAGAATTTTTTATTTATTTACATATGAAATTCTTCTTACAAAGTATCGAATTTGTCTGCCTTATATAAGGAGAATTGCGAGTCTGACTATTTCAGACCATAAATATTCGAAAGTCAATGAAAAGCTTGAAGAGTTCATACAGAATATAAAGTAAAGTCAGTGCAGAAAATAATGATTTAATCTTTACTCTTAAGGGAACGAGTGGAATAAAATTATGGCAAAATATAAAGTTATTACTCTATGTAGAAAGACACCAAATGTGAATACACCCATACATTTTTGTATATGTTATATTCTTTATCTCTGATTTCAGTCATTGTTGTAAAGTTTGACTATGGCTCATTTTGTTTGGGGAAGCCCTTAAGCCACCACCCCCTGCCCCAATCATTCCTGGGCCCCATTTCTGAGCTACATCTCCAGGCAGCACTTTGTACATCACTCTGTAAAATACATTTATCGTTCAATATTCAGTGACTCTGTTCATTTGAGCAGCATGACAGTTTGACAGCAGGCATTCCAATGTACCATAAGGAGGTAACATTGGATGTAATGAGATTTGTTGGGATGGGGGGAGGTGGGAAGGTGCAACGTGAATGTGAAACAAGGTGAGTGAGAATACTGAAGGGATGGTGGATAAATAGATGAAGTGAATATGAGGGTGGGAGGAATGGTGGAAACTAGAAATGAGCTACCTTTGAACTGCTGTGTGTCAGAGGATCCAGCTTTCTATTAGTTCTCAGCACTCTGCCAGGAAATGAGAGTCAAGGGAGGACATGGGACTGCGTTCAATCCAGTCTAGTTCTTGCTTTCTCTGGCTGGTGTCTGTACTTCTCCATCCGTACCTCTCCTCCGTGTTACCTCTCCCCTCCTCACGCTATCTTTGCTCTGCTGTCATTACTCTCTCTGGCAATCTCCCACCTCCTCCTCCTCCTCGCTCATTACTTTTTGCCATCTTTTGTCTCCCTCAGCTAGTCCTCTGTCTATCTCACCTTCTTCTCTTTCTGCCCCATCTCCTTCGTCTCTCATTCTCCTCCTCTCCGTGTCCTCCTCTCCAGCATCATTGCAACTGGAGTGATTCACCTCTCCTATGTACTCTCAGTCATCACTTTTTCACCAGTTTCCCACTGCTCAGCTTAGGCCCCCCAGACAGTAACGCTATGATGGAACATGCCTCCGATATCTTTATTATCTGCTTGTGCTTTGCTTTTAGAGGTACCCAATTATCTTAATGCTAAATTGAATTTGGTTCCAGCTCTGTGATTGTTTTGACTCTCATAATCCATTTTTATGAAAAGGGCTTTGCTCCAATGACTACTAAACTAATGCTGATACAAAGTCATTTGCTTGGCAGTAATTATGCTTGGAGTTGTTAGTTGTATTAATTTTTCTACGAAGGGAGTGGGTTATTTACTAAGCTCAGAATTGAGGCAAGCGTGTTAATTTGTTGCATGCGCATGGGCTGTAAGCTCACTTGTACATGCAGTGTGTTTGTCAGTGTCCACCAGTGTCCAGAATAATGTTTCAATTACCTACTACACGATAATAATCTCAATAAGGACAATATTTAAATACAGTTGGCTCTGTAAATGTATTTACAGAGATTTTTCTTTTAGTGAATCAATTTGAACAATTTCAGCAAGTCACAAATTATTGATTTTTCTTTTTTTGGCCTGTCAAAAATATCAAAAAAACAAACTTGTTTTCTCTGAACATTTCACAGTCAGTGTGACCCTTTTTCTTTCTGCTAGATCGCTGGATCGTGGTCACGTTAGTTTGTGTTTCTTCCGCTTGTTACTCGTTGCTCCTAATATTGGTCACGGCTGGCGGAGGGAGCCGTGTGGTGTGGAGGAAAAGGAGGACCCAAAATGCAGCAAACTGATGATACGAGTGACGTTTTTATTACAGGGTGGTAGTGGCAAAAACAGGCAATGAAGCACGAGTAATTACAAACGGAAACCTAAACTGGGAGAAACTAAGTGACAAACCTGGGCCATACAAAGGGGTGCGGGGCAGAGAGACGCAGAGACAGGAACACCATAGAACGCAGATGAATGTAGATTAACGCAGTGATACATGGATGAACGCAGACGAGCCGGACAACGAACACAGACCGACACCCACTAAATACACACACACACACACACACACACACCACACCACACACACACACACACACAAGGTAATCAGGTAATCACACACAGGAGGGAAGAACAGCTGAACCTAATACACCTGGGGACCGGAGGAGACAAGCTGAACACAATAACAACAGACACAGACCTTCAGAACAGAACAGGAAATCCAGAACACGGGCCTTCAAAATAAAACAGGAAACAGACTGATGTACAACACAACACGGGGACATGAACAGAGCACCAAGGACAGACACAGGTAGGGCTGACAATACACCAAACTTCAGGTTAACCCTAACTAATACAGATCAGAAAAAACGCAAACGCTGGGTCAACGACCCAGGACCATGACAAATATAGTCCTCAAACCACTCTGTGCTTTTAAAGTGTTACTTGTATGAGTACATGGAGGGGTTTATTTCTAAAGCACATCAGTAAAAATGTAATTCAGACATGCTGTGTCATATAGCCGTTGTTGAAGTGCCACTTCCTGCTGCGTGGTAATCAAACTGGCGCTGTTGTATCGCTAACTCTAATAACAGTTCTTATCCTTTCATCCACTAGAAGCTGCAAATCTGTTTGGGCCTTTCAGAGTTTAAGACTAATGGATCATCATTCTTTGGTGCATTACAAAAATACATATTCCTAAAAGATCAGTCTTTTACATGGTGACATTGTATCGTGTAATAGGAGGTTTTGATGATTGATCAGTAAAAAAATCTAATAATTCTAATATCTGACAGACTGGTGCGGACATCATAGGTCTCCTGTGATAAAGAGAGAGCTGAGTTTGAGAGTGAAGCTGTAGCTTTACCGCTCAATCTATGTTCCCACCTAAGGCCACAAGCTCTGGGTAATGACCAAAAGAAGGAGTTTGTGGATGTAGGCAACCAAAAATGGCTTACTTTGGGTGACGATATGAGCTCAGACATCATTAGAGACTCAAAAGAGAGCTGGTGCTACTGAAAGGAGCCAGTTGAGGTAACATCTGGCTAGGATGCCTCCTTGGCAGTCTAAGCTGCTGCCCCTGCAACCTGTACCCAGACAAGCGGCAGAAAGTGGATTGATGGATGGATGATTTTAAAAAATCTTCGTTTTTAAAATATGTAATTGCTATAATAATTGATGACAGTAAGATTATGTATTTGTGCAGTTACTTATCACAGGTGATAACAAGCTTCTTCCTTGTTTTGTTTTACAGGATGGCTACTCCCAGTATCACTTTGTGGGCTCTGCCTCAACAATAGAAAGAGACCGGCAGAGGCCCTATTCTTCCTCGCGAACTCCTCGGTCTCTCCTGTCAGGACATCTCCAAATAACCTTCTGGTGAGAAACCCGTGGCACTCCCTATACAGATGCTATGCATACGTGTTTTCATTCATTCTTGTGTATCTCTTAACAGCCAAGATTAAGACCTCATATGTAAAAAATGTTTCACTTAGTTGTGTGGTTAGTTAAATATCTCATGGCCAAACAGGGTATGGGTCTTGTGATGGTGCACATCATCAAACTGAAAAAATCTTTGTTTTCTGAAACAAAAAATACTGAAATACAGTTTGTTTTGTTTCTTTTTGTCTTTCTTTTATCACAGGCAGTCAGCTAAATAATTGGGGAAACAATATTCAAGCCAAGGTTATAGCAAATAATATTTTATTAATAATTTTTTTCTTTATTTCTTTAAGCCTGCAAGCTGCACTTGAATTTTTAAGAAAGCAGTCAGCATCTTTTCCAGTTGGTATAAATTGTCTTTAAAGACTTGGTATGATTATCAAAATAAGGCAGGATTTGTTTGTAAAAACAAGCATATATTAAAATTTAAGGCTTTACTGAATTTTACTCTTTTGACAAGTGGTTACAGAAAATCAGTTGAATAAAGGGTTACATCTGTGGTACAGTACACAGAGAATCTAATTTAGACATTAGTCATCTACATTAACATTTGCGGATGCGATCAGTCATTATACCACACGCTAAATAGCTCATAGCATTACAGGCTTATGCTACAAATATGATTATCATTAGCCCATAGCTTGAGCCACTGGCCTTCATGCTTTGCAAAGGGCACATTAGCATTAGCTGTTAGCATCGGTGGTTCAAGAGCCTTTAGCTGTTCTTTCACCACACTGGGCTTAGCAAGCTGATGAGGCAGAAAAGTACTTTTCCTTCCTCCTGGCTTAGAGAGGTCTTCAAGGACCCTGCTAAGAGAGGAAGACAGTGGAGTGAGAGAGAGAAATAAAATGTGTGTTTTTGTGTGTGAGGAGGAAAAGAAGGAGGGATGAGATAAACACGGAGGAGATAGAGAGAAAAAGCAAGAAGGCAAGAAGAATTAGGGATTGAGGGATGGTTAATGCAGGGAGGAGGAAGTGAAGAAGGCTGGGGATTTGACTTTAGCCAGCGACATTGAAAATAAGAAGTTTTGAGATTATAGTGCATAGAGAAATTTGTGGATGTCTGTTGTACAGTGGATCAGCAGGGGTAAATTGAGCCATGACTCCCATCTTTCTCTTCTGCTCCTCCTCTGTCTACACACAATGCCTCCCCCTTTGCCTTTGAGCTTGTCCACCCCTTCTCATTCACCCGTTTCACTCTCCTCCTCCTCTTTGCCGTAATCCTGCTTTCTTCTCACCTCTCCTCTGATCTCTCACTCTTTACAGGCCACCTCAGTGTGCTCTCAAACACAGAGACACACACTAACACACCCACATGCTCCTATATCTCTCCTCTGCATACACTCCAGACTGCAGTCCGACTCCTTAGAGATGGATCAAAGCAGAAGGAGTAATGATGGTATGCAAGTACGCTGGGAGAAGAGGAGTGAAAGAGTTGATGTGAGAAGAGAGTAGTACGACTATGAAAGAGAAGGGGAGGTTAGAGGCTGCAAGAGAAGGAGAGAGAGACCTTTGCATGTGTCATGGCCCCCACAGGGTCCTGCTGTGTTCTGCACTGATAGAATTTGTCTCCCGGGCTGTCATATCGAGCATTTACAAGCCAGGTCCCCTAGGTAACCAGCAGCGATGGCACTGTCTCTGGAGGTTTCTGTAAAAGGTTTGAGCTGCTACTTTAATGGAATCTGCTACAGAGGTATTGGATGATAAAATTAAAAATGAAATGTGTTAAAACATTATAAAAACGTGGCTCACCACAGCCAAAGTGATTATGTTTATGTGCCTTCTTCACAGCCGTTTCTGTGCTTGCGCGTGTACGTGTGTAATACAATGTCTTGTCAAAATGCAGAAAAGGCTGGGGAACAGATAAGAGGGTACAATGCGCCTTTGCTTTTTATGTCAAACATTGAACAGCCGAGATGAAAAACGGGCATCCTTTAGTATTCAAATAGATGAATTTTAATTCAATGGCTCTCCAAAAATCACTTTAAAAGCCTTTATTTCATTTGCTAGTCATATTCACAAGTGTTTTCATCCCTAGGTTGCTCTTCTCTAACCTTTAATCGTGGTATAGAACAACCAAAAGAACAAAGACAATTATGCACTAATTTTTGGAGTAGGCTACATCTGCTTTTTTTTATTCAGAAGCATGAAAAGCGTTTCTACCCGATGGCTCATTGGACTGAGAATGGTGACTTCCACATGTGTGTGTGTGTGTCTGTGTGTGCTGCATATTTGCATGTGTAACAGATATTAAATAAATGTCAAAACTAGTGTGAGCATGTCAAAAAAGCTTATTTTAGAATGTACTCACATTTCCTGGAGTATACTGTATGTGTGTACAACCCAGTATCCAGCAAAGCGTGAAATGAACAGAGTGGAGCGGCGTGTCTATTACACGCTTTGCCGTGATACTGGGTTGGTATGTAAACATTGAGTTAGTTATAAGAATCTTTATATAGGCAATCTGAAACAGGTGGGCAGGATTATGGCAGTCCAGTGTTATGATAGGAGGTGGTGAGTAAGCACTTAAAGTATGCTATAACGGGATTACCTTGCGATGGGCAAAAGTTTGCATGTGTGTGTTTAAAAAAGAAAATTGGGACATTATCAGTATTTCTACAATATGAGGGCCATGTTTGTCATCGCCTGCACGCATGCATGCATCCATCCATCCATCCATTTGCTTCCGCTTATCCTTTTCAGGATCGCGGCGGCGCTGGAGCCTATCCCAGCTGTCATAGGGCGAGAAGCGGGGTACACCCTGGACAGGTCGCCAGTCTGTCGCAGGGCCAACACAGAGACAGACAACCATTCACGCTCACATTCACTCCCACATTTACACCTATGGCCAATTAACCTATCCCACAAACTGCATGTCTTTGGACAGATATGTACACATGCATAATTGTCCAAATCCACACAGTCACAACAGAAACATTATGTGTGGAGGTGTGGAGATCCTAAATAGGTTTGAAACTTGATAGTATCTCCAAAGAAAGCATAGCTCTACTGTGAAGTTAGCAGTGCAGCAGAGTTGGAAAACACACAAATAGGACTGCATATTGGCATGAGGCCACTCATAAATGTCTTTGTTGTCACGATAACCAATAAACTAGCAGCTAAACTCCTCCATTTAGTTTCAGTATTTTAACACTGCTGCAATTGAGTTCATTAATACTACTTAGTACACAAGCACAAAAAGGCAATAACAATTTAACTGTTGTTATGTTTTGCATGAAAAACTGTTAGAACAGTGTCCATTTAATCGGGTTAAATAACATCCCGTTTAAAATGCGATTAAAATGTTTAAAAGCATACAGGGAACACGGTGAGTGCTGTCAGTAAACATGTACTTAATCTCATTAAAACTGCTGAAAACTGCACTGCAGTATATAACTATGATTTGGCAATCTTTGATCAGTCAGATTAATCACTGCTGTCTTTTAAATGTAATGCTTTTAGCATGGCATGGACTTGTGCATGCATTCGATGGTACTAGCACCTCCATTTATTTGTTGTTATGTGCAAGATTTTGCAGCCAGTCATGGAGATTGTTTAAGTTGAGGCACCAAGAAATTAAAGAAATACAAGACCTGTTTGTGCGAGGGTGTAATGATCAATGGTCACTTTTGTAATGCACTACAAGCAAAGTTGATCTGACTTGTTGGCTGTTAGATAGCTGGATATTTAACATGAACTTTAAACACATAAAGAAGAAGAAAAGACATAAAACTATTAAGTAAACTGTCCAAAGCGTCCATGTGTATGTTTGTGTGCGTCTGTGTGTGAGAATTCCCAGAAGTCGTCTAACATGCTGGAGGTGACCCTTTCTGCTGACAAGTTAAATGATGAATAATGACTGTGCACCTTGAAAAAGACCAAGACGCACAGACACACCAGTGTAAGCACGCAGAGTGTGAAGGCTCATGCTGTTCTGGGTTTATTGCTCATTATTTTGTGTGTGCGCGCGTGTGGTGTGTGTGTGTGTAGCGAGCGCCCCAGCCTCCCCAGAGAGATGATGAGTCTGAAGGAACGCAAGATGGACTACGATTCCACGGCAACCAACGCCGGTTTCCATAGCAACAAAGGAGAGCACACATCCCGGAAAGACGGCATGGCAGGTGTGTGTATGTGTGTGTGATGGAGATGAATTAAATGATTCTATTTTATCCCCTCTTTATCTTTCCTTCTCCTCTATATTCATTCCCTATTTCCTCTTTCACTTATCTGCCTTTTTTCAGCTTCACACCATTTCTCTTCTCACACACTTTGATTCTTCTCAATCTTCTCCTGTCTTCCTTTCCAGTTTCTTTCTTCCCGTGCCTTCTTGTTATCTCTTCACTCTATTAGCTTCCACGCTCCCTTTATGTCTATTATTTATTTTCTATTTTTTAATGTTTTCTATTTTTTCCATCTCTTTCTCTTATGATAAATTCTTTATGTGACAAGTAGCACACTAAGAAGCTTTGAAACTCTCATAAGTTATTGTCAGATATCTGATAGGTATTATTAGTAGCTATTTTTGTCATAATTGAAAAAGTGGTATAATTTTATTTTTATTTTATCCATCAAGTTCAAATTTCCTGTGGGACATCTACACTGTTCCGAAACTCTTACCTGACTGCCAGCGATGATATCAAGCAAAACCAGGTGAGTTAATGCTGCTCTGTGAATCCACTTTTCTGTATGCATATGTAGCAATACACCACCACAGCGTTTTAGCAGTGCATGCATTTCAGGGGTTTTTTAACAGAGATAGCAGCAGGATAGAAAACGCACAAATATATGCACACAAAAGGTGTCCCAGTGTGATAAGAGATGTGCTGGCAGAGTGTGCAATGGAGGCACACCCTCAGCTCAAGCAGTATCAAACGACTGCAACCTGAAACCACACCCGACTGGCAATTAAAGTCATTACCTCAGTTGATTGCACTAATTATTTGCTCTTGGTAAATGACTCTGCTGGTACCGAGGGAAGGGAAATAAAAGGCATCAGAGCCATTGACTTTGAAATTTTGGCCCGATTTCTTCATCACTTATAAGTTTCTAATTAAAGTATAAGTTCATTTGTACGGGTACGAACTTTTAACACTGGCAGTTAAACATGTAAACACGTTTTCCTCACGCGGCTGCACACGCGTGCGCTCACACACACAGACACGCACACAACTGGCCTGTGCGAGTTATAGTGTTATAGTGTTAGAGATGCATTGCCGCCTTCGACGCCTGCTAATAGAGAATTCACAGCATGAGCCCCTTCCCCACTGATTCCTTTCTGAGCTCTTTACCCATACAGCCTGCCTTTCAAAACCTTTTGTCCCTTGTGTTCACTCTTACCTGTCACTCTCCTTTCCATCGCTCCCTCTTTATCTCTCTCCCCTTTTCTTCCACTCCCACCTTTCCTCCGTTACCCACATGTCTTTGACTCTCCATTCTTTTCCTTGCTGCACCTCACCCCCCCACCTACCACTCTTTCACTTCAACCACTCCCCGCCAGGGTCCAGCCCAGCCCTGCGTCGTGCCCCTCAGCCCCAGCTGGACAGTCCGTCAGCAGCCGTGCTAAAAGACTACGACCCTACCCTCCCCTCCCTCCTTCCCCCAGCCTCAGCCACCGCAGCCTCCACCTCACAGCCAGAGCCGGAGCTTTGACGAGGCCTACTACGAGGACCAAGGACCACCGCCACCTCCGCCACCCCAGCCACAGCCACCGATCCAGGCTCAGGCCAGCCTCAGGCCCACACCCAGCAACCTCCAATCTCCACCGGACCACCCAGGGACCCGCGGGAAGATCTGCGCATGCATCTGGGCCTCAAATCAACCGGCAACTACGTAGACTTCTACTCGGCCTCTCGGCCATACAGCGAACTAAACTACGAGACCAGCCACTATCCGGCCTCACCTGACTCCTGGGTCTAGTTAGACTACAGTGTTGGGGGGCAAGAAAGAGTCTGTGTGTGCTTGTGTGAAAGGGATTTTTTTGCAAGACATCAGCAGTGATTATACGTGGTATTTTGAAAGCGATCTTGTAGCCAGTGGCAGGAAATTTATGTTCTCTAAAATAAGTGGGATAGCAGAGCTGGATGGGGATAGGAAGTAAAGTCAGGTCGAGCAACAAAGAGAGACTGCATGTGCATGTGAACTTTTTTTTCCAGACCAGTTTATTTCTTTAAAGTCAGCTCCATTTCACCAGTGAGTGGAGCTAGTGGAAGTAGATATGACAAAGTGTGTTTGACAGTTTGAACTAAGAGTAGGAAACAGAATATAAAAAGAGAGAAAATGACCAGGCGGATAGAGTATGCAGATGTCAAGAGAGAAGAAGAGGGCGCTAGGATAAAGAAATAAGCAGCAGTTGAGGGAGCGTTCTTACTCTGTAAGAGCAAAGAGCTGTCTGACCTAAGGAGGAGATGAGAGACAAGATGGCATGAGGGTTCTTGAAGAGGTCAGGAAGAATAAAAGCACAGAAAAAGATGAAAGCACATCAGGCAACAAGCAAGAAGTGGATGTTTACCATTTCACCCAAGTGACAAACGTAGCACTGCTTTTATCCCCTTTTTTGTTGCAATGGCCTTGCCGCCTCCAGAGGCTTCTGAATTTGCGTTCAAGGAATGTCATCTTCAAGAGACTTCTTTTTTGTCGTCATTCTTTTACATCTTTTTTATTTGTACTTTTCTAAATTTCACTTTCAGCAAAACAAAAAGAAACTTTTTATTTTCTGTGTACAGTAAAAGGTGATATAGTGTGTATATTACACGTTTTTGATGGGCCACTTATACAAACATAATTTATTTTCCATGACTGACTGCTGACTGAAACATCAAAAGCAACAAAAAATAAGCGAAATGTGAACACGAGAATCAGACCTGACAGACATCATCAGGATGGGTGTCAGCAGACACTTTTGTTTTGGCCCCCTTTCCTTTCCCAGGAAGAGAGGAAGCACTGCGATATTTGTGTTTTTCTCTCTCCGTCGAGTGAATTTTGTCATGGACACAGTAAAGAGCAGTTCAAAGCTGCCAAAGCATCAGTTTGGCAGAGCAGCATTGTTCCAGAGTCCCCGTCAACTAAAGTGCTTTTTCACTGCCTAAAGATTATATGTGTATGTTTAAAGCACACTCTCTGTCTTTGGAAAGGTTTGTCTTTTCACTTTGGGGAATCTGACATGTTTGACAATGTCAACTTTTAGTGGTTTGTCATCATCACCTCTGCATAAAAAAAACCCAAACTGTTTCAAGTTTTTTTTTTCACATCAGTGAAAGCCGCCAGTATTGTACATCTCAGTGTACAGTAGAGACAAAGGAAGACGAGAGAGAAAGGTCTTGTGCCAAACTTTGACACACAGTGGACCAGTCCAAGAGGACTTTAAAAGGAAATTTTGTCGACGTTTACAGACGACGTAGACTGGCCGACTCACTCTGCTGTTTGTAACTTTTATTTTCTTGTGTTTTTGATCAGGTGAAGCTGTACTTATTGCTGGGAATCATGGGTAATGTCTCTCTCCCGTAGATGTACAGACCTGCTCCGTGTTGGCTGAGCACATGTGGGTGTGTATGCGGATGTGTGTGTGGGCGGGGGGGTTGACGTGTGTGCGCACGCGTGTGTTTGTGTACATGTGCATGTATGTGACAGAATGTGTGGCCTGTGTGTACACGTAAACTTGAGCGAGCGTATCTATGCATGCATGTGTGTAGTAGTGTGCGTATGCCTCTGTTGCGTGTATGTGTCTGAGCGTTCCTGTACAAATCAATGTCCAAACAAGGCATTCCTACCGACAGTTTGTCCAGTTTTACAACATGAAAAACCAAGGAAAAAATCACTAGAAGGAATTGTTGATATAGAATGACAAATCTATAAATATATGAATATGAATATAATATATATATATAAATATATATATAATTTTTATGTGCTGATGTCAGTGTCACTAAATGCAACAAATGTTCGCAGAGAAAACAATTATGTGGTGTACAACAGGACTCTTGTTCACTTGACCTAAACATGGAAACTGCTGATCGGGCCCCCCCACCCCAGTCGAGACAAAAAGAGAAATCCCACCTGAAGATGCTCAGGCTCTGGTGCGAGTTGTGTGTTGTGTGTCCATGCTTCTTAGATGACCCTGCTGAGAGAGGACCGTACTTGAACACAAGGAAAAAATAAAGACTCTTTGCAATCAAACAACACGGTCTCCGATCCTCTTGATGATTTTTTTTTTCTTTTCACAGAAATGTGCATTAGATATATTTTTCTCACAAGGCAAAAGTGCTCATGTGGTGCATGTGTGGGTTAAGCTGACACACTTTGATGTGTTTTTGTTTAATTCACATTCTTGTGTGATTTTCTTCAGTCTGTATTTTGTTCAAAAGGGCTTCAGGTGCCTTTGAAGATGTAATAGCAGAATGTAGGAATATCTTCCTTCCCGTGTTCCTTCTGTGGTATCTGAGGCAGCCTTTAAAATCTGCTCTCATAAAATAAATAAACAGCAAGTACTTAAATTCATTACATATTAAGTCAAGTGAGATGGGATGATTATTACAGAACAAATACCTTTTTGGAGATTTTAAATACTGTAAATATATAAATTGGCAAGGGGAAAATGTACAGTAACATTAATATCTGTTTATTATTAAAACTGTAATTCTATGTATATTTACCACTGTGGGCATTTTAAATGTCTATTTGGATTTGACTATCCAATATTTGCTTTTAATAGCTCTAATGCACAAATAACATCAAAGCAAAACTTCTACTATTCAGTTTAACAAAGTTATTGTTCCTGTGTATTTGCAGTGTATTGTACTATAAGTGATAAACACTCACCCGGCTCTTCGTTAGGTACGTCTGTTCAAATGCTCTCTAACGCATATATCTAATCGGCCAATCACATGCCAGCAACTCAGTGCATTCAGGCATGTAGACACAGTCGAGATGACCCGCTGAAGTTAAAACTGCACATCAGAATGGAGTGGAAAGGCGATTAAAGCGACATTGAATATGGCCTGAATGCTGGTGCCAGACAGCCTAGTCTGAGTGTTTCACAAACTGCTGGTCTGCTGGGATTTTCCTGCACAACCATCTCTAGAGTTACAGAGAATGGCTCCAAAAAAGAGAGAGAAAATATCAAGTGAGCGGCAGTTCTCTGGACAAAAGTGCTGATGCTGATGGAAGAGGTCCTACTGCTTCAAGCTGGTTGGAAGGCAACAGTAACAACAATAATCACTCATTACAACATGAGTACACAATGTACTGAACATTGAGCCAGGTGGGTTGTAGCGTTGAGAAACGGACACTAAAGGTACAAGTCACACAAACATTCCCTGGTCTGAGTCTGCTGCGGCACCATGAAAGCATCCATCCTGCCTTGTATCAGCAGTCGAAGCTGCTGGTGGTGGTAAAGTCATGGGAACACTTAGTACCAACTGAGCATTGTTTACGCACCATAGCCTCTCTGAGTATTGCTGCTTACCGTGTCGATCCCATGATGACCACAGTGGACTCATTGTCCACTTTTAGCAGGACAACATGTCACAACGCTCAAATAATCTCAAACTAGTTTCTTGAGCATGATAATGACTTCATTGTACTCAAATAGCCTCTACAGTCACCAGATCTCAATCCAACAGAGCACCTTTGAGATGTGGTGGAATGGGAGATTCACGTCATGTCAACGTGGACGAAAATCTGTGAGCAATGTTTCACAGCAATGTTGAAACTCTGACAAGACGAATTAAGGCAGTTCTGAAGGCAAAAAGGAGAGATTTATTTCAGAGGAATAGGAATATATCAGTTTATCTCACTTTAAGACAAAGGGAAACACACCAGGTTGTGCTAAGTTTGTGAGAGGAAAAAAACTCATGAAAAGTAACAAGCACTGCAAGCCTCCCACGGCTTTACAATTAATTAGATTTTTTAATTAATATTTTCTTGCACTGAAATGGCCATTATTTCTCAGCGCATACTGACTTGCTTCACTGTGGATTCTCTTAGCCTGATAAATAGACCAACAACAGCCAATATAAAGAAAATATATCAATAAACTGAAATTAGGCTTTATTGGTATTTAATGGTGTATTTTACTCTATGTGAGCCTGATAGCTCGAGTCACTATATTGCTTAATTCGTAATCTATTTACAAATGGTTTGTAGACAATATTTAAGTTTGATAGGGGTCTTAAAATGTATTATGTTGCCAGTATAGCGCAAATTCTGAATATAAAGCAACAGTATGACATTAATGGTAAGTTTTGCTACAATTCTTTTTGTTGAATAGTAAATGGTACTGACGTGTTTTTAAGGTTATAATTTAAATGAATCTGAGAGAAAAATAGTAAGAGTGCACATTGAGATTGTGACATTGCATGCCACAAACTCAGTATTAATTTAATTTACAAAGCACCAACATTAGCATATTTCCACTTCTGTACATCAGGAGCGAACATTACCGAGTTGGTGCAAATTAATTCGGAGGTATTTCATTTATCTTTTAGTGACATAATAAATTTATGGTATTTTAGGAAGAGGTCCACAGACAACAGCGACAAAACACAATAAATTCAAAAAGTCAATAAATTCAAATTCATTTGCTACTGTTGGCCCTGACAAACAACACTGTTAAAATCTTGATACCATCATCTGCTCACACAAACATATTCACTGGGAACTTGACTGACTGCTGCGTGGGAACATGTATGATAATGCTTTGCATGTCAGTCCTTTTCACTCTTTGGCTGATAATGACCCTTTCAAATGCTGTACAGTTAATGTACTTACACAGCGGAGCAGTGATAGGCACGGCAGGGGGCTTAATATTTCACTGTGATGTTGCCCCAGACTGACAGCAGTGGAATGTGCTTAGAGTGGTGTTAATAATGGAAAGATGTATGAAGATGCAGGGGCTCCTACAAGCACCAGCCTCTGTTGTTACACTGTTGACACTGGACAGACATCAAAGATGCAGTAATGGAATTAA